CCCGCCCTCAGCCCAGGACAGGGCTTCTCTGTTGGTTTCTGTGGAGAGAGCGGGGGAGGGCAGAGACAGGGAGACATCTTGAGAGACGCCACACCCTGCGCCCGACCGGAACCGAACCCCAACCCCAGGGCCGCGCTCTAACCACTGGGCGCACAGCTCGGGCTGCAGGGACTTCCTCCCGGACCCGCTGCTGGTCTCACGGCCCAGCTCCATTTATTATTTCACGCACATTTTTCTCATGACCCGAGGAGACGTGTTTATCTGACAAAATGGATCCTTGGATCTGGGTCTCTTCCTGCACCTCCGATTCCGTTCCATGAACTGATCGATTCGGCCGACCGGTGTGGGTCAGTGGGAGCGTCCATCCCATCAGGGCACCGGCCGGGCCGTGGGTCCGACCCCCGCGCGGGGCCTGAGGAGGTGGTGGTCAGTGACTTCCCCCCTCCCTTCCTCTGAAACCAACGAACACATTTGTTTTAAAGTAAGATTTTGTAACCACGTATTTTCCATTCTCTGCTGACTAGGAATAGATTTGTAAACGCACCATAAACATTCCGCTCAGTCAGAACCGACTGAGGGCTGTCAGGTGCGGACCCACAGGATGAAACAAACTTCCATGTTCCAGGAGCTTTTACTCAGAACGGCCCGTTACCTCCTTGGCGCCAATGGCCACACTGGCCTTTCCTCCCGTGGGCGCTGGTCCCCGACTCTGCGGGGCGGCTTCTCGGGCTCACCTCACCTCTCGGTCACCGGGAGGGACCACGCTGGGCCCCGGGTTGCCTTGGCAACCAGAACACAATAAAATGAGTCCGTCCCAGGGAAGAGACTGAGTTTATTCGCACACGGTGCGTTCCTTGGCAGATCCTGGAGGGAGAGGAGGAACGTCAGGGCATCAGGGCCGGGGGCGAGCCTGGCCGCGGGGACAAGCCCGGGTCTGGCTTCCGGTGGACGCGCGGGGCCTGAGGAGGTGGTGGTCAGTGACTTCCCCCCTCCCTTCCTCTGAAACCAACGAACACATTTGTTTTAAAGTAAGATTTTGTAACCACGTATTTTCCATTCTCTGCTGACTAGGAATAGATTTGTAAACGCACCATAAACATTCCGCTCAGTCAGAACCGACTGAGGGCTGTCAGGTGCGGACCCACAGGATGAAACAAACTTCCATGTTCCAGGAGCTTTTACTCAGAACGGCCCGTTACCGGCCGCGTCACCGGCCC